CTGCGGGAAGGGGTTTGAGAATACAGGTAAGACAACAATGGTTCGTCAGTAGCGGTTTAGGAACACCATGTGACGAAGCTTACCTCGCGGCTCTGGAAAGTCTTGTTGAGAATGTTCATCTGCTCAAGAACATCAGCAAGAAACATGAGCACAAACCAAAACCTGTAGCTCGTGACAATCTTGTAAAGACCGTCGTCGGCAAACTCGGACAGCATGACGATGATGGCTGGCAAGACCTTCACCAGCCGTCGGATGGCCTCGCCGCGTGAGAGCCATCTGACTTGGTGAATACCTTGCAGCTCCAAGCACGTCGAAAGGAAGATGTCTTGGAGGTCGAGGAAGCGCTGGTGCCACGGTACTGAGCGACCAAGGAACTCGGCCAGTTCCTTGATGACATCATCGATGATGTTGAAGAATGGCATGTCCTCCGCCACCGACTTAGCTGCTAGCGCCTCTCTGCACATGGAAAAGAACACGGGGAGAAATCAAACAAACCACCATGAGTGCTAGCTAGTATTGTCCTGAATCACCATGTGTGCAAATGCGGAAAAAAAAAAAAAAAAAAAAAAAAAAAAAAAAACACTGGTGAGCGATGCAATGACAGGAGACCAGGTGAGGGATACGCATCCGGAGTCGAGTCACCAGGCCGGATTTCGAGCCCATCATCACCGCCGCCCCGTCTGTGCTGATGCCAGAGATGCGGCGGAGATCGACACCAATTGCTTGCAGGTGGGAGAGCAGCAGAGCGAGCAGAGAAGAGGCATCCGCCTTGTCAACGCTGAGCAGCGCCAGGTACTCGGTGACGACGCGGAGGTCCCGGATGAAAGTGCAGAAGACTATCATGTGCTTTCCTCTGCAACGGTCCGTGCTCTCGTCGAGGCTAAGTCCGATGAACGGGCTCCGCAGGAGGTGCTCCAGCTGGGCGGTGTGCAGCCAGGTCGCGGTGGATTGCGTGAACTCCCCTAAACCGTACCTGCGTTTAATAACATAAAAAATCTCGTCATTAGTGGTTTATAAGGATGGAAGGTAAGAATACGAAGCTTAAAAGTCTAAAAGAATTTAGGCCTTACAAGTTCATGTACGTCCCGTATCCGCCCTCGGGGAAGTTCTTGAACTTCCGCGACGCAAGGTGGTTGGTGATCGTGATCCATGTGTCCATGGGTTCGTTGGTCTTGCAACATGTGTACAGCAGGTCGAGAAGCGCAGTCACTCGCTCCCTCTCCAAATCCGCGCCGTGCGGGTTCTGATCGATTCGCGTCTGGGTAGTAGCTTCGTGCAGCATAACGTTTTGCTTCCCAAACGCGAGGCGGTGCTTTCCGGTACCAGCGTGCCTGTTGAACGCCTGTGTTTGTGCGTCTGTGATTCCTGGCCCACGACGACCAGTCCTTCCAGAGAGCCCTGCATGCTCCAGACAGATGGTACACTTAAAGGCAGGGCGCCCATCGTTAGCTTTACACAAAAGGAGCCAGGGAAACTGCTCCTGCCACCTCGACTTGTAACGGGAAAGAGCCTCAGCGTAAAGCTCGGAAGGACTTAGAGAATTCCTGGAGGTTGAAGGTGTATCGTCTTCAGACGGCTCTTTATCGTCATCAGCAGGTATCGACGCCGGCGGCTCGACAGTTCCCGGATTCGGCTTCGCGAACGGCAACATGGCCTGGCGATAGCGACCTTGGCGCTTGGGAGTAGTCATCACAGTAGCAGGGCGATCGCAACGGCTGGTGGCGACGGACCGGGTCCAATACTCTGCCCAGGAAGAACGACTACATCGGAAACTGAGTCGGCTATTTCCTTTCTTGCAGGTTCCTGTTCTCTAGGCGCAGCATCGGCTCTAATCGGGATGCGGGTGAGGCTAGACAGTGTCGAGAGGAGCAAGTCGAGCCCCGTGCACAGGTCTGCACGAGGAATGCTACCACCTTCATCGCCTTCTGGATCACCGTCGCTAGGTGCTGCCATCGCGCGATGGCAACGGTAAGAAAACCAGTCACAACCGTGGAGGAGAAATGGAATGACGAGGGTGGAAGCACCCGACTTGAACGAGGCAGCAGGTGTGGCAGCACAGCATCGATTGAAGAGATCGATGAAGAGGATGGGGTCTCTTGAGGTTTGTGGAGGGCACACGGCTCGCAACAGCCTTCTGCATGCATGCATATGGTTCACGAAGCGGGTGGGTAGCGGTCTACTGCTCTGCTGGTGGGCCAACTGTTTAACATTGTACCTGGTCTATTGGCTGCTGTGGCTGAAATTTGGCAATGAGCCAATCCAAACCCTGCAGCCACGCTCTGCTGGAGACAGCAATGGCTGACTACTTTCGAACAGCCAATGAGACCCCGCCGAGCACTATGTGCTGGAGGAAATTTGGCTGAATATTCTCCAGCGGGGCTGGAATCTGGTCGGTCACACTCGAGTTGGCGTCATTGACAGGGACGGTGGGGGGGGGATTCACGAAAATCACGGGGTGGGGGAGTTGGGGCTGGGAATCCGCTATTACCGTAATCCCCCGTATAAAACACCCGCCGGAATTAAGCTCCCCCGGGTAGCTTGAGCGGGTATGGGTGTTTAATTTTTCTGGATATACACAACACCCTACTCTCGGACGTGAAAACATTTGAACACCCCCCTGCCACTAGAATCTCCATTTCTAGCAGGAAACGCCAGAATTTCATGTTGCGTCGTTCCGCGGCTCAATCGCAAAAAAAATCTGCTCGCGCCGAAATTTTACTGTAGAGATTCCCGCGTGTCGGAAACAATGTCGCCTGAACAAAGGTTTTGAAACATGCCCATGAATCTCGGCAGGCTGAACCTGACGTTGCACCTTATGGAACAGCACTAAAACATTTCGCGTCAGAATTCGCGACACTGTAGCTCGCGAGCCTGGGAAGGTTCCCTGGGAAGAGGCTACACTCTAAGGTAGGAGACGAATCTGCCCGAACGAAAAAAAAAAAAAAAAAAAAAATCGACGAAAACAAATCCGAAAGTTTGAGACTGTACTCGACTTTCGCGCGTCCCGCCAAATTAAACGTGTGCTCATTGGTTGTTCTGACAGCATCCTCCCTGACACTACATGCTCACTGCCAATGTGGCATGCAGATCGGGAATATCGTCCAGTATGCAATGAGATGACCAAAAGTGGGTATCTGACTCAAATGAATGTGGTGAAACAAGCACACTTGAATTCCAATTATAAAAACCATATGCACATTCCATAACTCCTGGGTGTTTTATTTTTTTTGCCTTTAATTACACCCAGCCCAAATTTTTGCTGCATTTTTATTAACACCATAGGGTGCTTTATACGGGGGATTACGGTAGAAGAATCAGGGTCAGGCTTCGATACGACGCTGGAAAAACAGGCCACACTACACTACGCACGCTGATCGATCAGAGTTCACTCTAAAAAAAACCCTGAAATTTCAGGCCTCTGTCTTAAAAAAATCCTGTCTCATCAGGGTCACCCCCCAAAAAACCCCTGATTTTACCCTGAATCAGGGTAAAAAGCCTGCAATCTGAGGCCCTGATCACACGGCTAGGATTGCTCTGGTGTTCCTATATCTTGCTTCGTCATTCCATTGTACCACATTCTGTTATTCTGAATCTGGTCATTTGATTCCGCGCTACTCTGGTTAAACACTCATAACTCTATTCTTGGATCATTACCATTATATGCCTTGGGCTTCGACATCTCTTTAGATGAATTGGAAACTACATGGTAGTTTGAGCCAAACTGGTTGAGTATTTCTGTAAAGAACTAATCAGGGAAAGTGGAGGACCAGAAAATCACATCCCCTCGCTATTGTCGCAACACACCCACACAATGGTTTGGAGGATGCTCTGGCCAATGGCTCGCCAGCCAACGTGCGATTCCGTCGCATACACTTGACGTCCAGTCAAATGCCAATTCATTAGATGCTACGTTTCTATTTACAGTCCTAACGCACCAGAAACGGCCCAAACGACACAAGCCCAAAGATCTGCAACAGTTACCCTCCAAACGTGTAGACTGGACGTCCTCCACTGCTGCCTGAGGAACGCAAAGCAAACAACAATGGTCACCCGATTTCGACTAGAAAATTCCAACGAGGTAACAACACTACCCTATAGTGGCCCAAATTGCCCGTGAAAGTTAAGTGCTCGACCCTGGAGCACCCGCCCGGAAAAACACCGCGACTGAAAAGGACTTGATATGTACACCGTAAACCTCGTTAACGTCACTCGTTTTGGGCAGGGCGGCTAGCATTTGTTTTTAGCGAAATGTGATGTTACGTGACTCCGAAGGGGGCCCCCCGCTGTTGGTATTTTCCCAACCCGGTGTGGCGTGCCGGGTGTACTCGGGAGCTGCGCGGTCAGATGCCGAGGTGCGGGTAATACGCAATACAAAAACAGAGGCGCCAACCACATTGGACCCAACAAAAACTGAGAGGGTGTTGGCGACGAAATCGAAGGCCAAGTAAAATCGCCGAAACTGGAGACACCCCAACCGCAGCCAGCACAGCCTGAAACAGCTTGTTTCAGCACACACACTCACCAGCAACAATACGCCCCCATGGAAAGCGGTACTGCCTAGCGATACTACTAGTAGGCCACGATACTGAGACCAACGAAGTGGACTGAGACTACCCGTTTCCGTCCTACGATGCGTCGAAATGACACCCAATTGGGGACAGGGTACCGTCAAATTGTTTCGCAGCAATGTAATCAGAAGCCGACTGAGGAAGTGACGGTTAGGGCGGCTGTGATGTTTCGTGATGTGACGTTAACGAGAGTTGAGGTGTACTCTCCTAGGCCAAACCCTTTCTTTCGCTTGCCAGCTCACTTTGACCAGTGGGCTGGGCACCATTCCACATCAGAAATGTAGGTCAGAAATTGTTTTATTTGAGGCATAGATTCAGGAAGTCATCGGGTGGGACGCGTTTCTTCGCGCTGAGCCCCCACATTCAAACGTCTGGTCATATGATCTCGATTATTAGCCAAGAATTCCAGGACAAAAGTCCGCCGAGTCTCGCGTTGCGTCATGTCGTCGTGGCCTGCCCGAACCTTGGAAGCTCCGTTGTACGCAGCGAAGCAGACTGTCCGCGAAACCCAGGCCAGACCAGAGCACATCAGGCACAGTTGTACAGCAGAGGGAATGTGGCAGTCAGTTCCCATCCCACCATCAGCCACGGTACAGCAAACAGTCTTCGTACGACAGCAATACACGTGGTGTCGACTCGTCAGTGAAAAAAGCCTAGTCAGAGAGAGTCACGCGAAAGCTCGCTCGCCGTTAGTCCAGACCAGAAGCCCTCAGTTATGTTGGGCGTTTTAGCTTCTCGCGAGACGACCCTCGCCTCTAGCGTCCAGGATACCTAGAGTTAGGATCACCCCAAGCGTCCACGGTCTTCTTCACAACGGTTCAGTCACAGCTAACCCTAATTTCCCCTAGTCGTCTTCTCAGTTCTCGAGCAGACAAGAGGGCACAAGACCAGCACTGCTCTACGTGCAAGATCTGCTACATTGTAATCAGCTGGCTGCCTTTCAGTACCAGAATCAGAGGCGATAGCAGCGAGACGACGCACGATACGACATACGATACGATACACGGTCTCGCCGCAACTCTTCCTGCTCCCGTCCCCTACCGGAGAGGACGAATCTGTACTGTTCCAAGACGCTCCGTTATTTAGTCCCCTCCTCTCACGCGCTTTCTAGCCAGCTCAGCCCTCCTCAGCCTTAGGTGGCCTTCGTCCTAGAAAAAAGGCTGGGAGCCTCGCGAGCCTTGTCGCCTGGGGAGTTGCATCGTGTCGTCGGTTCGCGTCGTGTGTCGTCCCACCACTCGTCGTTTCGATCGTCGGTAGTTCGGTCGGGCGTTCGCCCAGCGGCCATCCCCTTGCGCCTTTCGAGAAACGGCCACGGCTGCTCGATCACACCCGACGTAAGCGAAACCCTAATCTTGTGGCTTTCCTTTCTGTCGCGTCGTTTCCAAGCGCTCACTCTCGCTCGCTCTTCCCCTCCTCCTCCTCCCGCCCTACTCTCCCCCCTCTCTCTCTTCCTCTCCTCTCCGTCTCTCCCCTTCCATAACCCCACTTCCGTCCCTTCCTCTTCCCCCCCATCCGCCCATCCCCCCACCCTCCCACCCTCCTATCCTCCTATCCTCCCATCCTCCCATCCTCCTATCCTCCCATCGTCCCATCTCCCTCCCCTCTCTCACTCCGTCCCTCATCCGCTCCCTCACCTGCTCCCTCCTCCACTCCCCTCACCGTCCCTCAACCCATTTGCCGTCCCCTTTCCCCCACGCCCCACCACTCCCCACACATCCCCACTCCCCCCTCCCCCCGCCCCCTCTATCAGTTCCGCCATGGCGGGGCGAATCCTCAATCACATCCGGCGCTCCCGGGACCAACCCCCCTCCCCCAAGACCGACGAGCCGTCCCCCTCTTCCGCGCTCGACCTTGCGCGCTGCAACAGCACCGGCAGCGCCGCCTCTGCCTCCCGCCCCAACACCCCCACCTCCTGCCGCTCCCCCAGCTTCACCTCCTCGCGGGGGGGCTCCGCGGGCGGGGCTGCGCTCCCCCCCGTGCCGTCGCGCGACCAGGCGGAAGCCGCGCGGCTGCTGCGCGAGCTGGCGCTACGGTCGGAGGAGGCGGAGCGCGCGGCGGCGGCGTGGCGGCAGCAGGCGGACGAGATGCACCGGCTGCGTGCGGAGCGGGACGAGCTGCGGCGGCAGAAAGCGGAGCTGACGACGCGCGCGGGGCAGCTGGAGGCGGAGCTGTTCATGACGAAAATGGGGAAGGTGAGCGCGCGGAGGGGAAGGGGGAAGGGGTGCGCGGAGAGTATGGGGAATGGCGAAGAAGAGGCGGGCAGGTTGTAATTCGTGAGAGAAACGGTCCTTTTAGAGGAGAGAGAAGCAGGGTGTTGTTTGAGGGGTGGGTGGAATGGCAGTGGAGCGATGGATGCCAGGTGTGCGGCTTGCATGATCAAGCGAGTGCAAGCAAGAATTCAGGAAGAAGAGAACGCGGAGGGCAAAGAGCGTGAGAGAGAAAGAAAGAGCAGGGAGGATGAGCAGCAGCAGCAGCATGGGCCGGACGTTGCAGCATGCTGGGAGCTGGTGGTTCTTGGGAGAAACAATGACGCTGCATTGGAAGGGGGAAGGAGAGGAGGTGGGGGGGCTGTTCTGGTTGTGTGCACGTTGGGTGGTGGGCATGGCGAGGTCATGCGCCTGTGCGCACCTGCTAATGTGTTTTCTGTTGTGGCGGGGAGGAGAGGGTCGATTTGGTGGCGGGCTGGGGTAGGGGAAGGGCGGGACGTGACTTTGGATGGCGGTTGGGCCGGGTGAGTGGGGGGTTTTGTGTGTGTGAGTGGGCGTCCCCGCATGTGTGCGTGCGTCCCCGGCGTGCGTGCATGCTTGTGCTTTCGTTCGTCTCAACGTAACCTCTCCCCGGCGGCGTGCGTGCATGCATGCAATCACCATCGCCTCTCACCTCTGTCTTCTTCCCCCCCCCCTGTCCTTCCTCGCCTTCATCCCCATTCTCCCCATTCACCTCCCGCTTATCCCTCCCTCCCCTCTCTTCCCGCCCAGGGGCCCCAAACCACTGGCAACACCCCTAAGAGCACAGCAGTAGCAGCAGCATCAGGAGCAGCAGACCCCTTCGCCCTGCAGCAGCAGCGGCTAGAGTCCCTTTCAAAGGAAAACGCACAACTAAGAGACCAACTAACAGAGGCACAGCGGACAGCAGAGGAGTGGGAATTCGCCAAGGCGAGGGTGGAGGACGAGTGGGAGGACCGGCTCAACCAGGCGCAAGCAGCCACCGGCCGGGCGCTAGGGGAGCGAGAGCAGCTGTTTGCCGAGCTGGAACAAGCCAAAGAGAAGATCGCATCGGAGAGCTCAGCGAAAAAGAAGCTGGAGGAGAGTCGGGCGCTGTTTGAAAGCGAGCTTCGGCAGGAGATCCGGTCAAAAGTGACGCTTCTGGAAGCAGAGGTGTCGCGGTTGAGTGTGGAGGTGAGAGCGGCGATCACCCGTGCGGAAATGTCGGAGAAGAGTTTAGTGGAGGCGCAGGTTCGGGTGGCGGACATGGAGGCTCGGGAGCGGGAGCACGCCGAGGCTTCAGCTGCGGTAGCGGAGCAGCATGCGTCGTTGTTGTTTAACATGGAGACGGAAATAGAAGGTGCGGAGCAGAGGGAGTTCGAGGCGAGGGCGGATGCGGAGCGGCTTTCAGCGGAGGTGAGTAAACTCAAGGGCGAGATGGAGGAGATGTTTCGGGAGAAGACTGATGCGGTTTCGGAGTTGATGCTGATCAAAGGGGATGTGGAGAGGCTGGAGAAGAGCAAGCAGGTGGCGGAGGGGATTGCGCTGGAAGCGCGGACGAAGCTGGTAGCTGCTAACAAGCTGGAGCAGAAGTTCAAGAGACGACTGGATGTGGCGAAATTAGAGCTGGAAAGATTAGGAGGGGACTGGAGGGTGGTTTACCCGTTGGAGGAGGAGCAGGAAGAGCTTGCAGCCGCAGCAGCAGAAGCGGCTGAAGCTGCGGCTGCAGCTGCGGAGAAGGCTAGTAAGATGAGACCAAAGAGCAGCGGTGCTGCTGGTGGTGGGGGTGGTGGTGGTGCTTCTACATCGTTATTTGGTTGGATGAGTTCGAAACAAGGGAGGAGTTAGCTTAACCTGGGACTTCAGGAAGAGAGCAAAGATGGGTGAGTGTTTGCAGCAATTGCAAACTATACGGAGTTGTCACTGATGTTGTATTTGTGGTTATACACGATGGAAATAGCAGGCGATCTGTCGACGAGCAGTCTCTCAGTACATATTTGACACTGCCATAGATCAGGCTCTTCTCCATCTTGTCTTCAGCGCTGGCGAGTTTTCTTGTGTGCTTGTGCAGTTTCTAATTTGTACATGTGCACCAGTTCCATTCCATGGAATTTGACAAATTTCGATATGTGTTGATGGAACACGATTTGTACGCCGTGAATCAAACTGTATGCGCGCTGGACCAGATTATTTTAGCTTAGCGCGAGCAGCACACTAACGGAGCGATTTCGAAGTTTTGGAATTTGAATGGACGAACAAGCGAGTCGCTTGCGCGTGGTCGGTTGCTCACAGCGCTCACGAAAGAATTGCTTCCAGGAGGGCTTCGCACACCTGCTCTACGACGAGGATTCTCCCATCCCTGCGACAGCTCCAGCTCAAAGACCTCCGAGTGTGCGACTCTCTGCGATTTGCGCGACGATCTCTCCTCTCCAACCTGGTGGCGGCAAACTCGAGGTAGCCAACGGCAAGCCAAAGCCACTCCACGCCAGGGCAGGCAGGTCTCTCAAGCGTGTCTCGTCCCTTTCACTCCCAACTTAAAATCTAAATTTTCTGAGCATCTGCACTTCATTTGGGTTCTCTGTTAGCATTACTGGAAGTCCATTATCTTCAACATTCCACCATTCCTGCACCTGTTCGTTGCCATCTAGGTTGACCCCCACTGTTGGTCGGTCTCCTAGGTCTTCGCGTCTGTCGCGAGGAGCGTCGTACTATTGCTCATAGTCCCGCTCCGGTCCTACATTTTTTAATTACAGGATTAGTTGGTCACGTGCAGCGTCTTGAAGCACCCTGCGATTTTATTTTTTCTCGATTTTATTTTTCGTCTACTTCAACGAAGCTGCACTTCTGTCTTCGGATAGGAACACTCCCGGACCTTTCTGCCATGGCGTCAAGCTCGCAAGTCGACGTGTCTCAGAAGCTACGCGAGTCGGACGATCTCTTGAAGCAAGGCGATGCGATTCTCGACGGCGGCGACATCGAGACCGCCATCCAACTCTTCGGCTCCGCGCTCGAATCACGGTACGGCTGGCGAATCCTTTTCTGTTTCATTCTTCTCCTTATCACATATATATATTTCTTTTTCGTTGTGGGACTCGAAAGTGGACTTCTGACTAGTGTGATGCCCTCCGGTTTCGTTGAGGCTTCCATCCATTCCCTATTCCCCTAGAATAGCCGCCACCATCCGTTCCCTGTTGCCGCGTCTTCCTCATATCCTTCTCACTCGCCGTTCCCTTGCTCCGCCGATCATCCCTACCGTTCCACAAGAGTCTCCGCGTTCGGCGAGCTCGGCGCGGAGTGCGCCGTGGCGTATTTCAAGTACGGGTCCGCTCTCTTCGCTAAGGCGCAGCGCGACATGGACGTGCTGGGACCTGCGGGGCAGAAGCTAGAGAAGGGAAAGGAGGAGGAGAAGGAGGAAGACGTGGAAGGGGAGGAGGACGAGGCGAGCAAGGCCAAAGGGAAAGGAAAAGGCAAAGGTCGGTTTTTATTCGATTTGTTAGGCATTGGTGCTGGTTAAGCAGAATTCGAGCGTTTTGTTTTGATAATTTCCTGACTCCAGTTGTGCAACCGTGCTGGAGCGATCAGCATGTAACGTTCCTAGTTTCACAGTTCCCCGACCATCCGCTGTTGCCCTGTTACCCTGTTACTCTTCTTCTCTGTTACCCGCCGCGCAGTGGAAGAGACGGACGACGGGGCTGAGTCCCCCGACGCAGCCGACGCAGCCGACGAAGCCGGGGAGGAGGATCTAGGGGAGGGCGAGGACGGGGAGGAGGAGGAGAGCGACCAGGAGCTGGCGTGGCGGCTGCTGGAGACGGCGCGGTGCATCTACGCGAAGCGGGACACGCGGTCGCTGGAGGAGGTGGACGTGGTTACCACGCTCGCGGATCTTAGTCTTGAGAAAGGTGAGAGAGCTGGGAGCCGCTTTTTAGTGGACTCAAAAGGACACGCGGTCGCTGGAGGAGGTGGATGTGGTCACCAAACTCGCCGATCTGAGCCTCGAGAAAGGTGAGAGAGTTGGAACCCGTGGTTGCTTTTTTAGTCGAGTAAGGAGGACTACTAGCACGCGCTGCATCCGCTGGAGCTGTTGGTGTCGAGGTGACTCTTGAGCCAACTAAAAACATCTTCATTTCCTCATTCGCCCCTTCGCTCTATTGCTTGCTCTCGGCCAGAGGACTTCGACGAGTGCATGGAAGACTACCAGCACGCGCTGCAGCTGCTAGGGGTGCTCGTGTCGCCGCACCACCGCCGCGTCATCGAGCTGTGAGTTGATGACGTGGTGACATGCTGACGTGGCGGCTACTGCCGCGCCTCATCACAGCAACCTTTCTCACTCATTTTTCACCCCATTTTTTTGTACTGAAAGGGTGTGTCAACTCGGCGATTTTTTTTCTGCCTCGCCCCCGCTCGTACTGCCCGTCCTCTCAGGTATTTCAAGATGGCTTTGGCTAATCAGACCGGCAACCGCGCGGCTGAGGCGCTCCGCTGCTGCCGCCTGGCCATTGACGCGTGTGAGGCGCGGATTGGCCAGGCGCAGACCCTGCTAGAGGCGAGGCGGAAGCTGAAGGAGGAAGAGAAGGAGGGCGGAGAGAGCGTGTCTAGCGGGAAAGCAACTGGTAAAACAGATGGCGGTGATCAGATTAGTGATACTGCTGACAAGGCTGCTGGGGCTGCCACAGGAGATGCTGCTGCTGAAAATGCTGCTGCGTCTGAAGGTGCTGCTGTGTCTGAACGTGCTGCTGCAGGAGCAGAAGTTAAGAAGGGTGCGGCTCAAGCGGCTGGAGAAGAAGAAAAGGAAGGGGACGTGAAGAAAGCGGAGGGCGAGGCGGGGGCAGGTGTAGGCAGGAAGGGAGGAGAAGAGAAGGGGGAAGCTGGCAAGAGCGCGTTGGATAAGGGCAAGGGCAAGGGCAAGGCGGAGGAGGGCAGGGCGATGCCGTACGACTCGATAGACGGGAGCAGCAGCGAGGAGGATCTGTTGCAGGAGATACAGGACGTGCGGCAGATCGCCAGCGACCTCAAGGAGAAGGTGAGAGCGGCGTGCCCTGGCACCTTCTGCTGGATTGAGGGGGGTTGAGGGGGGTTGAGGGGGGTTGAGGGGGGCAAGAGAGAGAAGTAGAAAGACCAGTGGGGAGGAGCGGGTGCAGGAGATACAGGACGTGTGGCAGATTGCCAGCGGCCTCAAGGAGAAGGTGAGAGCCCCCCCCCGTCCTCTTTCTCCGTCATTGCCTCATCTCTTGTCCCTTCTGGTGCTGCCTGCAGCCCCCCTTTCCTCATGCTTTCTTTGTTCCTTCCACTTGCTCTTCTCTTTCCTATCCCTGCTCCTACTCTTTCTCGAGCCGTCCTCACATGCCCTTCCTTCTCACGCCCCCCCCTCTCCCCTCCCCCTCCTTTACTCTACACGGGGCAGAAGAGCTCTAGGCGATAACTGCTGTCAGTGGGAAAGGGGAGAGGATTCACCACCTTCTCATGCCCATCTCATGCCCTTCCCCACTCCCTACTCCCAACTCCCCACTCCCCACTCCCTGCTCCCCGCTCTCACAACCCCCTTTCCATGGCCCCCTCCATCTGCACAGGCGGAGGAGCTGCTGGAGATGATTCGCCTGCCGTCAGTGGAGGCCATGCTCAGAGAGCAGCTCTCTGCTGCCTTCTCTGGCGCCGGCACTGCCTCCTCTGCTGCTGCTCGTTCCACCTCTCGCCCTTCCTCCTCTGCTGCTGCTGCTACGGCTGCCGCTGCTTCGTCAGGCCCTGCTGCAACTGCGTCTGCTCCGGCTGCTGCCGCTGCTGCTACTGCTGCTCCAGCCTTGGCGTCTGCTGCTGCACCAGCTGCTGCTGCTGCTGGTGGGTGCGGCAAGGCAGTGGAGGGCGAGCAACGAGGGCAGAAGCGCGCAGCAGAGGTGGTGGTGGTGGGCAGGGGAAAGAAGAGGGCCACGCCAGTGCCCATTCCACCAGAGGAAGCTGCTGTGCTGTCATGGCCCGGTGTTGCCAGCTGACGTGGTGCCAGCTCAGGTGGTGCCAGCTCAGGTGGTGCCGGCTCAGGTGGTGCCAGCTCAGGTGGTGCCTGCTGCTATCTCGGTGTTGCTTGATCATGGGCGCAGCAGGCTTTGTTCTGGCACTGCATAACATGTGCGATTGGATAGGTTTTCCAAATCTGTCATGGTCTCTGTAACACACTTACTGATTTGTTTTTGTGTCTGTTTTTTAACCCACTGATTTTGCTTGAAAGCCACAGCCTGGAATCTCCTGTGTTGCTGTTGCTAACAGTTTCGATGCTCGAGTTTCCCATGTGTTCTATACCGATCATGCAAGATCCACTATAACAGTCCCTTTATTGCCATGAAGCAGGATACAGTATATGTTGCGTCAGTTTACACTAGTAGTACCTATTTCAATCTGCCTTGGGTGCTCTCCTACCCTTGGTCATCTTGGGCCCAGAGGAGGGCGCCAGCAGGAGTTGCAGCAGCACAGCAGCAGCTGCCAGCAGCAGCAAACCACCCACCGCCATGGAAAGCGTACCCTGGACAGGAAGAACACAGGGAGGGAGCCCGTCAAGTTGAGATTCGTGCTTCCACCCATGACCGCAGGAGAAAGGTTAAGAGCACAGGGAAGTGAGCAAGAGGGAAAGTGGGGAAAGAGGGGCATTAGCAAGGGCACTGCATGGAGGTGCGAGAAGGCACCCTTCTTCCTTCTCCTCATCCTTGCACCTCATCGTGCCTTTCTCTTCTCCCCTTCCGCCTCCACCTTTCTCCCGTCTCCCCCCCCACCCCGCCCCAAGTCCCCCACCCCCTCCCCTCTCCCCCCCCTTCAGTGCCCGCCGTTCCCACCTTCCCTCCATGCTCACCTTGCACACGGGGCTGGCAGGGTTGGTGAGGCGGAGCCCATTGACTCACACCGCCACGCCCATGAAGAACGCCACCGTGCCTAACTTCCAGTTGCCTTCTGAGCCGACTCAAACGGCACCTCGCCGCTCACCTTGTACACGGGGCTGGCGGGGTTGGTGAGTCTCAGCCCATTGATGCACACCGCCACGCCCATGAAGAATGCCACCGCGCCAAATTGCTTGTGAGCACGCCGCGCCATCTCAACTACTCCCATCCCAGGCAGATATTTCACAACTGCACCGCCCATGGCAATGCCCAAAAAGAGGGCCAGCGCTGCGAGGCCGAGCCTGGAGTGGAGGGTGGCAAAGTGGGGCTTCCCCAGGCGCTCCTTGTTGAGGTAGATGGCGGTGATTCCTCCTGCTACAGCTGCGCCGGCCAGGCCTTGAAGCAGGGCGTGGATGTTGATCCAAAGAGGGCGCTGCCGGCCCTGGTGGGGGGATTAATGGAGAGACAGGTGGAGACAGGAGGGGATGAGGTGAACGAAACTGCGGCGCCTGCTAGGCCTTGAAGCAGGGCGTGGATGTTGATCCATAGGGGGCGCTGCCGACCCTGGTGGGGGGAATGGTAGGGAGAGACAGGCGGAGACAGGAGGAGATGAGGAGATGGGATGGGGGAATGAGCATGAACGAAACAGTCGCGCCGGCCAGGCCTTGACGCAAGGGATGAGAGAGGGGTGGTGCGCATGGGAGGGTGGTGAGAGCAAGGGGATGCAACAAGGGGGAATGAGGGAGGGAGGAAAAAAGGAAGAGGGAACGAGAGACGGGGAGAGGGGTGGCGGTTTAGGAACATTGGATGATGATAGGAACGTTTTCCTGTATAATGCAGGGAATGTAGAGCTATTTTTGAGGCGCCTAAAAAATAGACTCCTCACACATTGGCTAAAGTTAGGAACATTTTCCTGTGTAATGCAGGGAATGGGAGACGCTGTACGGGAAGCACCCTCACCTCGCCGACAGCAGCGGCAATGACACCTTCGCCCATGAGGAACACGAAGCCGAGAGCGAGCGCCGCGGGAGAGAGGTGGGGGAAGAGAACAAATAGGGAAATAATGCAGGGAATGGGGGAAGAGACGAAGGGGGACGCAGCCTCACCTTGCCTACAGCAGCGGCAATGACACCCTCGCCCATGAGGAAGACGAAGCCGAGAGCGAGGGCCGCGGGATGGTACCCGAAGAGCGACCCGTCGCAGAAGACGAAAACGGCCGCCATGGTCGCTGACGCGAGCGCCATGTGCGCCACGGTCGTCACCGCAGTGGAAGCCATCATGGCTGGCTGGCTGGCGTCGCGAGGCGGCGATGGAATGGAGGCGTTGGCTGTGCGTTTGTGAGCTGGCAGAGAAGCAGTGAGCCGATCCGCGTGGATTGGTCGAAGGAAGGCTGATCGCAGGATGCGTGGTCTGGCTTGTGAGCTGAGTTGGAAGAGGGAACTCGGGGCTGTGACTTAGGAAGTTAGATTTTCTGAGAAACTCTAGGACTTGAGGAATTGGAGAAACTTGAGAAACTCGAGGCTCGGCAGGACGAATTCGGCTTTCTCGCTTTGGCACCTTACCTTTTCGAAGTGGAGGCTTGGCTGATAAGGGTACATCTGAACCGTTGAAATCACTGGCTCGGAAGTTTGGGTTCGGCAGCGATTGATTCGGCATGCCGGAGCAATCTCTGAGGCTCCCGCCAGCGAAGGCTGGGCGAAAGATCAGCGTGGTGACGTGGTACAAGACGTCATGAATCCGGCATGCACGAAACAACGATACCAGAAGTTTAGCCTGTTACCGCACCCTATAGAACGCATGGCGTTTCGCTCGCTTCGTTTTCCGCCTATTGGAGAAATTTTGAAACCTCTGTCTCTGAGGGAATGACAAAAAACATTGCTTTCTTGTTTCGAATTCCTCTCGACGTGACAAATCCGCGCCTTCCTGCTCTAGAAAAATTAAAACCCATAGGGGCACCGCATGCCATTCGGGGTAGCATCAACCCTAAAGTCTCACACCCGGGTGGGAGTTTAGGGTTGATGTCACCCGAATGATATGCGGGACCCTATGGGTTTTAGTTTTTTCCCTTCCCGTAAGTGTAACAGCAGTCCGAAGGTGTGAATCCTCCCTCGCGAATGTTTCCTCCAGAAGGAATTAGGGTCGTGCTCGAGCAGGGGGCGGGATATGTCACTCAGAAAGAAATTTGAAACAAGAAAGCAAACTTTTTCGTCATTCCCTCTCTGTTTCTCCAATCAAACCTCCAAAATATCCATCAGTCCCAGTGGGAGCAGCACCTGCGACGCGACAACTGCAGGTGGAAGTACGAATGACCGACTGACTGACCGGCCGACTGCACTGTGTTTCTCCCTTACCTGCCAGTTCACTCTTCCCTGCGAAAGCTCCGTCTCGCCTGAGCTGGTTTATGGCGTCTGATCATTCCTGCCATCTCCGTCGAAACGAGCTGCGCTTAGGAACGGATCGGCCACAGTTCGTCGAAGCAGCGTAGTCCATCCCGAAATTCAAGGTCGCTAACCGTTCCCCCGCTGCAGCGTCGAGAGTCGCGTCGAGAGTCTCGCTGACCTCTGGAAGCCAGTCGTTGTCTCCAGTGTGCGGCTACGAGGCAGCGGAAGCTGACGTGGAGTTCTACGAAGGCGTGTAGGAATAAATGCGAGAACGGCCTGAATTATCACGACATTGATTCGTGATCCCGTTTCCAGCACTAGGGATGTTGGATCAGGAACCTATTTTTGAACCGCCTCAAAAATCGACTCCTCATGCTAGGGATGTTGGTTCAGGATTTAGGAACCGCCGGCGGCACTCGTAGGCGAAAGTCATTGGCAAATAGGCCATCTTCCCGCAGGTCAGCCTAGCGGCTTCTCGATAGATCGGCACGACATGAAGTACTAATCGTTCGTACCACAGGAAGAGCACGCCTGAGAGCAAGGGGCATTCTGCTCGCTCAATTTAGGGCAACAAAGCTACAGGGACTCCAGTTCGTGCCAGGGCCGAGCGGCTGAGGAAGAAATAGGCAAAGGGGACTTGGCGGTCAATGGTTAGCCGGCAGTTGATAGCCGTTGTAGGAAGGATATGGATTAGAGAGCAAAGGTGATTTTTGTTAGAAATAGCAGGGAAGGAGTTTTAGGTGTATCCGGGAGCAGGACGGTGGTGCAAGGAGGGTGGTGCAAGGAGGAACGTGCACAGCCAACTGCCAGGTAGGGGGAGGTGGGGACGGACGGAGGAGGAGGCGGAAGTGCGGAAGTTGGAGGAGATTCTACAGCGGTAGTACGAAGTCAAAATAAGTCATTTTAAGTCATTATCGCCTGCGAAGCAGAGAGTGCGTTCGCGCATACGAGTACCTGAGCGCGAGCACGAGATCACCGCAAGTCTAGCCACAAGCCCCGCGAACAGAGTAGGGCCGCGAACAGAGTAGGGCCGCGAACAGAGTAGGATCCGTAACACCCTAAGCATGGCGGTGAAGCGGCACTTCCACCGGGTAGGATCCGGGGGCGGCGGCGGCGTCGGGGGGGCAGGCGGAATCGGGTTACCATCCCGGATGGTGAACGTGGTGCTGGTGGCGGGCGACTGCGTGTTCATCGGCATGCAGCCCATCCTGGTGTACATGAGCAAGGTGGACGGCAAGTTCCTCTTCAACCCCATCTCCGTCAACTTCCTCTCCGAGCTCTTCAAGTTCACCTTCGCTATAATCATCATCTTCTTCCAGGTGCGCTGCTTGCGTCCTTTCTCTCTTCTTCCATGTCTTGGAAGGCGGAGGGGTGGGCGGGGGGCCGGGGGGAAGGTGGAGGGGCGGGACAGGGGGAGGGGGAGGGGGCGGGACAGGGGAAGTGGGAGGGGGAGTGGGGTTACCATCTCGCGCGGGGAATGTGGGTCTGGTGGCGGGGGACTGCTTCTTCCTCACATAACATTGTCCTTCCTCTCCTTCTCTCTCTCCTCTTCCTCCCCGTCCCTTCCCCCCCCTCCCCCCCACCTCCCCCCCTCCCTCACGCTCTGCCTCCTCACCCCCCTCCCTGCACCGCATGAGAGGTCCTGAGTTTAAATCTCATCTCCCCTCTTCCCCTGTCAGGCGCGCAGTGCCCGTGCCAGTGTCAAAGCCGCCTTCACCCCACGAGCTATCTGGAAGGTATACCAATTCCGTAGCACTGCCGTAGTACGCCACGCCACGCTACCCCATGGCTTGCCATGGCATGCGGTGCCATGATTTTCATACCACACCACAAACTGTTTTCTTGCTGTACCGTGGGCATGTCACGTAAGCAACATATGTCACGCGGACATACCTCGTTTCAATGACCAGCAGGTCATTCGGTTCTCACCTCTCGTCTCTCTGACTGTTGTCTTTGCTGCTGCTGCTGCTGCTGCTGCCAGGCAGCAAAGGCGAACGTGCTGCTAGCGGTGCCTGCGCTGCTCTACGCCATGAACAACTACCTCAAATTCGTCATGCAGGTGGGTCGAGCTAATAGCATGACACACCCGCTGACAATGCACGGGGGGGACCACTTGATTGATACACTTTGCCATGGGGGTGCTCTGAAATGCCTCATGCATCATGCCACAAAAGGCAATCTCTCCTCCCGACCACCTACCCCATGGCTTGGCGCACTCCTCCCCTGTTGTTTCTATCTCGCTTTGGTATGTCACCACCATCTCCATCCTCCATCCGCCATCCTCCATCCTCCATCCTCCATCCTCCATCCTCCATCCTCCATCCTCCATCCTCCATCCGCCATCCGCCATCCGCCATCCGCCATCCGCCATCCGCCATCCGCCATCCCCCATCCCCCATCCCCCATCCCCCATCCCCCATCCCCCATCCCCCATCCTCCATCCGCCATCCGCCATCCTCCATCCTCCATCCTCCATCCTCCATCCTCCATCCTCCATCCTCCATCCGCCATCCGCCATCCGCCATCCGCCATCCGCCATCCGCCATCCCCCATCCCCCATCCCCCATCCCCCATCCCCCATCCTCCATCCGCCATCCGCCATCCTCCATCCTCCATCCTCCATCCTCCATCCTCCATCCTCCATCCTCCATCCTCCATCCTCCATCCTCCATCCCCCATCCCCCATCCCCCATCCCCCATCCCCCATCCCCCATCCCCATCCTCCATCCCCATCCCCCATCCCCATCCCCCATCCCCCATCCCCCATCCCCCATCCCCCATCCCCCATCCCCATCCCCCATCCTCCATCCTCCATCCTCCATCCTCCATCCTCCATCCTCCATCCTCCATCCTCCATCCTCCATCCTCCATCCTCCATCCTCCATCCTCCATCCCCATCCCCCATCCCCCATCCCCCATCCCCCATCCCCCATCCCCCATCCCCCAACCCCATCCCCATCCCCCATCCCCCATCCCCCATCCCCCATCCCCATCCCCCATCCCCATCCCCCATCCCCATCCCCCATCCCCCATCCCCCATCCCCCATCCCCCATCCCCCATCCCCCATCCCCCATCCCCCATCCCCCATCCTCCATCCTCCATCCCCCATCCCCCATCCCCCATCCCCCATCCCCCATCCCCCATCCCCCATCCCCATCCCCCATCCCCCATCCCCCATCCCCCATCCCCATCCTCCATCCTCCATCCTCCATCCTCCATCCTCCATCCCCCATCCCCCATCCCCCATCCCCCATCCCCCATCCCCCATCCCCCATCCCCCATCCCCCATCCCCCATCTCCCATCCCCCATCCCCATCCCCATCCCCCATCCTCCATCCTCCATCCTCCATCCTCCATCCTCCATCCTCCATCCCCCATCCTCCATCCTCCATCCTCCATCCTCCATCCTCCATCCTCCATCCTCCATCCCCCATCCCCCATCCCCCATCCCCCATCCCCATCCCCCATCCCCCATCCCCCATCTCCCATCCCCCATCCCCCATCCCCATCCCCCATCCTCCATCCTCCATCCTCCATCCTCCATCCTCCATCCTCCATCCCCCATCCTCCATCCTCCATCCTCCATCCTCCATCCTCCATCCTCCATCCTCCTCCATCCGTTTCTTGCACTTCTTGCACTCCTGCCATGCAGCAAAAGGCTTCGTGCGAGCACCCCCTCCCTCTCCATCCACTCGGTCTCCCCCACTTCCCCCCTCCCCCCCCCCCCCGGCGATTCTTCCTCCATTCTGTGTTTCTGCCTGCAGCTGTACTTCAAGCCCACGACTGTAAAAATGCTGGGTAACCTCAAGGTAATCATTGCTGCCAAGCAGTTTCACTTCTTTAGTGCACAGGCAAGAGTGATCTGGCTGACTTGATTGCGTAGTGCTGAGCTGACCTGACCTGATTGCTGGTGGCTGAGCTGCTGAGCGAGCCAAAGAGAAGGAAGAGTTCGGTCCCCCTTCCCCTTCCCTTTCCCCTTCCCTTTCCCCTTCCCTTTCCCCTTCCCCTTCCCCTTCCCCATCCCCTCCTTTTCTCAGCATCGACTTTGCTGCAGTGGCGTTCGTTTCAGTAGCTATGTGGCAAGCATGCCATGGCACAAGAATCTTCAGTATAACTCCATCTCCCTGCTCTCAAAATATCGCCCTGCTCCCTCCGCCCACAAGTGACCCCTCGCCTTTCCTCTGTGCCCTCCCCCCTCCTCTCCTCCTCCTTTCCCTTCTCGTCTCCATGTGTGTGTGCAGATTCTTGTGATTGCTGTGCTGCTGACGGTGGTCATGAAGAGGCGATTCACTGTCATGCAGGTCAGTCTGTCTGTCCACCCCATGCCATGCCATGCCATGCCATGCCATGAGATGCCATCACACTTCAGGCTATATGATGACATGCCATCACACACCAGGTAACGTTCAGTGCCATGCCATGCCATGCCATGCCACCATACCTCAACCCCCCCCTTGCACCCCCACATTCCCATTATTTCCCACCCGCCCCCCTCCCCTTTCACTCACCGCGACGTCCCACAGTGCCAGGTGCTATGCCTGGTGCTGATCAGCATGAGCATCAACCGAATGCCGTGTGGCAGCAATGCCTCTCCCATCAGTCTCACCCTCCCCCCCTCACTCCCCCCTTGAGCCCCCCTCGCCCCCCCCGGTCCCCCCCCGGCTCCCCACTCACCCACCACTCCTTGCATGCCACAGTGCGAGGCGCTGTGCCCGCTGCTGATCTGCGTCAGCAACATGCAAGTCACTCCTGTGTGAATTGTGACTCGCCATCTCCCTTCCCCTCCTCGCTCTTTTCACAGCCCTATCCAAACCACAGTGCGAGGCCCTGTGCCTGCTGCTGATCGGCATCAGCAACATTCACCATTCTGAGGCGCATTTAAGTCACTCCCATCGGTCTCACCAGCCCCCCGTCCTCGCTCTTTGTGGTATGAGTATTTCTTTTTGTCGACTCAGAAATAGACTCATAACACTCCCATCTGTCTCACCATCCCCCCTCCTCACTCCTTTTCACCGCCCACTCCATGCGTGGCACAGTGCAAGGCCCGATGCCTGCTGCTGATTGTCATCAGCATCAACTGAAAACCGTGTGGCGGCAATGCTCCTGCTGCCATCAGTCTCACCCTCCCTCCCTCGCCCCCCCCTCGCCCCCCTTCGCCCGTCACCCACCCACCACCCCTTGCATGCCACAGTGCGAGGCCCTGTGCCTGCTGCTGATCGGCATCAGCATCAACCAAATACCGTGTGGCGGCAATGCTGCTGCTGCCATGCTCGACGTCTCGCCCCTCGCATGGGTCTACACCTTCTTCTTCGTAAGTTCCGCTGCTGCTGCCACTGCCACTGCTGCTGCTGCTGCCGCTGCTGCCACTGCTGCTGCTGCTGCCGCTGCTGCCACTGCTGCCGCTGCTGCTGCTGCTGCCACTGCTGCCACTGCTGCGGCTGCTGCCACTGCTGCCACTGCTGCTGCTGCTGCCGCTGCTGCTGCTGCTGCTGCTGCTGCTGCTGCCACTGCTGCTGCTGCTGCCGCTGCTGCTGCTGCTGCTGCTGCTGCTGCCACTGCTGCTGCTGCTGCTGCTGCTGCTGCTGCTGCTGCTGCTGCTGCTGCTGCTGCTGCTGCTGCTGCTGCTGCTGCTGCTGCCACTGCTGCTGCTGCTGCCGCTGCTGCTGCTGCTGCTGCTGCTGCCACTGCTGCTGCTGCTGCTGCTGCTGCTAGTGCTGCTGCTGCTGCCGCTGCTGCTGCTGCTGCTGCTGCTGCTGCTGCTGCTGCCACTGCTGCTGCTGCTGCCGCTGCTGCTGCTGCTGCTGCTGCTGCTGCCACTGCTGCTGCTGCTGCCGCTGCTGCCACTGCTGCTGCTGCTGCCGCTGCTGCTGCTGCTGCCGCTGCTGCTGCCACTGCTGCTGCTGCTGCTGCTGCTGCTGCTGCTGCTGCCACTGCTGCTGCTGCTGCCGCTGCTGCTGCTGCTGCTGCTGCTGCTGCTGCTGCCACTGCTGCTGCTGCTGCCGCTGCTGCTGCTGCTGCTGCTGCTGCTGCTGCTGCTGCTGCTGCCACTGCTGCTGCTGCTGCCGCTGCTGCCACTGCTGCTGCTGCTGCCGCTGCTCCTGCTGCTGCTGCTGCTGCTGCCACTGCTGCTGCTGCTGCTGCCGCTGCTGCTGCTGCTGCTGCTGCTGCTGCTGCTGCTGCTGCTGCTGCTGCTGCTGCTGCTGCTGCCACTGCTGCTGCTGCTGCCGCTGCTGCTGCTGCTGCTGCTGCTGCTGCTGCTGCTGCTGCTGCCGCTGCTGCTGCTGCCGCCGCTGCTGCTGCCGCTGCTGCTGCTGCCGCCGCTGCTGCTGCCGCTGCTGCTGCTGCCGCCGCTGCTGCTGCCGCCGCTGCTCTGCTGCTGCTGCCGCCGCCGCCGCCGCCGCCGCTGCTGCTGCTATGCACTTGCTGTCTTGTCACGTCATGAGAAATACAGGCTCCCCTCGTCTCGTCCCCCCTCCGCGCCTCTGCTTTTTCTACATCTATTGAGAACCTGAATTTCCTGGGTCTGTGGATTGCTACAATACGAGGTGACTTTTGAGCCGACTCAAAAGTCCCTCCGTTAATCCATTCACTCCTACCCAACGAGAACCTAGACTTTAGGGGATTGCTGTCCATGTTGCGTAGCGCTGCACTGCTTGCGATGGGTTGACTGACTCGAGCGAACTTGCTTTCGTTCTCTCCCCTGTGTTCAGCTCACGATACCTTCAACCGCGTCAGTGTATAACGAGTACGCTCTCAAGAGTCAGTTCGACACCAGCGTACATCTGCAGGTGCTCTCTTGACCACTATCCACACCTCTCCACCTCTCTCCACCACTCTTTACCTCATTCCAATCCACCCATGCCCCCGTGAATCCAATCATCACCTGAGTCCATGCATCCGCTCCTTCGTTTCCCAGCCTTCCATCGACGTTTTTCAATATCCCCGTCTTGTTCTGTGATTCACCCTCTGGTAAGTTCTTCATTACTCCCCTCCCATCACCCCCCAACTTCATCTTCCTCTTCACGGTCTCCTCCCGTTCCGCCTCCCATCTGCCCCTCTCTTTCCCTCCCTTTGCCCCTCCGCCCCCCCCCCTTTCCCCCCCCCTCTCTCCCCCCTCAGAACTTCTTCATGTACTGCTGGGGCCTCCTCTTCAACTTCATCTTCCTCTTCGGGATCTTCATTGCCCGAGGTGTGTGTTACAGTGTTACTCACATGCCACAAGAACAACATCAGCTTTGGCATAGTCAAAGGCTCAAAGCTGCCAAGAGCGGCAGGCGTCGTTGAGGCGTGTTCTGGGCAGGTGTTTCAGCGCCCTCGTCCTGCCTGCTTTGCTTGCAAGTTGCAGCACTCGCTCACCCTTACTCTGCTGTTGCTCGCTGCTCGCTGCTCGCCATCCATCCTTCGCCAAGAGTGCATCCTTCATAGTCGAAGAGCAGCACCACCCTTCCTCCCTTACTTGCCCATAGAACCAACCAACCCCCAACCAACCAACCAACCAACAAACCAACCAACCAACCAACCGTCCAACGAAGCGCCACCCAACCAGGTGGGGCTCTATCGACTCTGAACGCCCTGCGCGAGGATTCACGAAAACTGCCCACTCCCCCCCACCCCTGTCCATGCTGTTAACCAGGCGGCGACCTGGCGTCGCTGAACATCCTGCACGGGCACTCACGGGCTACGGCGGTGCTCATCGCCAACAATGCCATGCAGGGCATCCTCTCCTCCTTCTTCTTCAAATACGCCGGTCAGTTGCTTACTGCGCCCAGTGCCGCGCCGTACCGTGCATGCCCTGCATGCCGCAGGATCTCCGCCGTGCCATGCATGCCCTGCATGCCGCAGGATCTCCGCCGTGCCATGCATGCCCTGCATGCCGCAGGATCCCCGCCGTGCCGTGCCACGCTATCGCCGTGTGGTCCCTTATCCAACATCGCCATGCAGGGCATCTTCTTCTACTCCTTCCTCAAATATGCCAGCCAGTCGCTGCCCCCCGTGCCCTCTTGTGCCCTCCCGGGCCTTCCCGTGCCCTCCCGTGCCCTCCCGTGCCCTCCCGTGCCCTCCCGTGCCCTGCCCTGCCCTGCCCTGCCCTGCCCTGCCCTGCCCTGCCCTGCATGCCGCGCGTCACTGGCCTAGACCAGGGCCGTGCCATGTCCAGCTTTGCCATGCGGCTCCGCACTCAGCTATGAGGCGTCTTCCACTATTCCCCTCCTTGCGGACCTGAGATGCCTGAAAACTCATCGACCCCAACCCAACCCCCCAATATCCCCCCCCCCCCACACTTCCCAACCCGACACAATCCTGAAGAAGTGTCCGTCCACCATCACCACCATCACCACCATCACCACCATCACCACCATCGCCACCATCACCACCATCACCACCATCACCACCATCGCCACCATCGCCACCATCACCACCATCACCACCATCACCACCATCACCACCATCACGACCATCACCACCATCACCACCATCACCACCATCACCACCATCACCACCATCGCCACCATCACCACCATCACCACCATCACCACCATCACCACCATCACCACCATCACCACCATCACCACCATCACCACCATCACGACCATCACGACCATCACCACCATCACCACCATCACCACCATCACCACCATCACCACCATCACCACCATCGCCACCATCACCACCATCACCACCATCACCACCATCGCCACCATCGCCACCATCACCACCATCACCACCATCACCACCATCACGACCATCACGACCATCACCACCATCACCACCATCACCACCATCACCACCATCACCACCATCACCACCATCACCACCATCACCACCATCACCACCATCACCACCATCACCACCATCGCCACCATCACCACCATCACCACCATCACCACCATCGCCACCATCACCACCATCACCACCATCACCACCATCACCACCATCACGACCATCACCACCATCACCACCATCACCACCATCACCACCATCACCACCATCACCACCATCACCACCATCACCACCATCACCACCATCACCACCATCGCCACCATCACCACCATCACCACCATCACCACCATCACCACCATCGCCACCATCACCACCATCACCACCATCGCCACCATCTTCACCATCACCACCATCGTGCCAGTGCCTGCAATTTCCCACCCTCCTATTCCAACCAGACACGATTCTGGAGAAGTGCTCGTCCACCATCGCCACCACCTTCACGTCCCTCTTGTTCCCCACTGCTCTTGCATGTCTCCCACTTCTCCCGCCCTCCCCTCCCCACCCCCCCCCTCACCTCCCCCCCGGGTCTCCCCCCCCAACCAGATACGATTCTGAAGAAGCGGTCGTCCACCAACGCCACCACCTTCCCGTCCCTCCGAGTTCTTCTGTGCTCTTCCATGATACGAGTACTCTCCCGTCGCCCACCAACCCGTCTCTCTGCCCCCAACCAGACATGATTCTGAAGAAGTACTCCTCCACCATCGCCACCATCTTCACGTCCCTCCTCCTTTCCCATTGTTCTTCCATCTATGCCTCCCACTTCTCCCCTCCCCTCCCTGTCTCTCTCCCCCTTGACCAGACACGATTCTGAACAAGTACTCGTCCACCATCGCCACCATCGCCGCCATCTTCACTATCATATCATTCCTTGACCTCCACTATCCCCTCTCCCTATGCCTGCAATTACCCGCCCTCCTGTCCTTCCGACCAGACACGATTCTGAAGAAGTACTCATCCACCATCGCGACCATCTTCACGGGCATTGCGTCCGCCGTGCTCTTCGGCCACACGCTCTCCATCAACTTCGCCCTGGGGGTCTCCGTCGTGCTCATCTCCATGCACCAGGTGTGCTGTCTCCCCGTATGCTATGCCATGCACCAGGTGCGCTGTCGGCCCACCATGCCACACACCTGTCTTTCCAATTCTCACACTGCCCATGAACTTCGCCCTGGGGGTCTCCGTCGTGCTCATCTCCATGCACCAGGTGCTCATCTCCATGCACCAGGTGCTCATCTCCATGCATCAGGTGCGCATCTCCATGCATCAGGTGCTCATCTCCATGGACCAGGTGCACTAGAGCCCCACCATGCAATGCCATGCCATGCCATGGCAAGCCATGCCACACCATGCAATACACCAGGTTCGGATGTCTATACACCAAGTGTGAATCTCGTTGCATCAGGTTGTTGCCATGCACCAGGTACACTAGATCCGTCATGCCATGCTACACCACCCCACACAACTTTCTCTCCGATGCTCACGTTCCGGAGCCCCTACCTCAGGGCCCCTTTTCCATGGCACTTCTTCTCAGCAACTCCTAAAGCGGCAAGGCAAGGCAAGGCAGCACAAGGACAGCGAGCGAACACTTGCCTAACTTCAAGGCGCCCTGCCCCTCAACTTTACCTCCCTCCCCTTCCCCCTACCAACCCTCCAACTTCCCTTCGCCCCGCAGATCTTCTCCGCCTTGCCTGCCAAGGCGCCAAGGCTGCGCAAAGCCAGACTGGGAGGCGCAGTCCTACTGACAAAGCCAGACTGGCCGTCATTGTCTGGCCGCCATCCCTGCCAAGGCGCCAAGGCTGCGCAAAGGCAATGACAGCCAGTCTGGCTTTGGGCCACCCCAAAATCAGACCTAGACCTCCCTCCCCCTCCCGTCCCCTCCCCCCCCTCTCTCCCTCCCCCCCACCCAACCCCCCCCCCCGCAGTTCTTGTCCGCCATGCCTCCCAAGGTGCCCCGGCCACGCAAGGACAACAACAGCGAGTCTAGCTTTTAGGCGCCCTACAACTGGACCTATACCTCCCAACCATCCCGTCCCTTCCCCTCTCTCCATCCCAACCCCCCCGCCAGTTCTTCTCCGCCATGCCTCCCAAGGCCCCCCGGCCGCGCAAGGACAACGACAGCGATGTGGAGGACTGGGAGGGGGGCGAAGCGCGTGGGGGGGGAGGGGCAGTGGGGGGCGCAGACCGGCACGTGGCAATGATTGTGAACGGGTTGCCGGCCTACCACTCCCTGTCGCCCAGATCGTACGTTCTACACTGCCTGCTCCTTGTGACCCTTCTCTTCCTGTATTAAAGCACAAGTTCTCACTTTTAGTTAAGCACCGCAGAGCTCGCCATTCCTTGCCGCCCGGGTCGTACGTTCTTCCTGTGCTGGTTACGTTCATCTAGGCGCCTCCACGGGTCGCTATGCGTCTTGCAGTTTTTTTCTTTCCCCCCTCCACCCCCCCTCCTGCGCTTGCTGCCTAGGACAGTGTCTGCTGGAGAGGGCTCCATGTCTGTCCAATGCAGGGTGCATGGTCTGTTGCAGGGTGTTTTTGAGAATTCTCACATGCACCGTGTATGTGCTCACATGCCCCTGTGCTGCTATCACTGATCTTGTGCGCCCCATGGACTCTCCCTGTATCTGTATGTGCATGTGCCTCTCTCCCTGTATCTGTATGTGCATGTGCCTCTCTCCCTGTATCTGTATGTGCATGTGCCTCTCTCCCTGTATCTGTATGTGCATGTGCCTCTCTCCCTGTATCTGTATGTGCATGTGCCTCTCTCCCTGTATCTGTATGTGCATGTGCCCCTCTCCCTGTATCTGTATGTGCATGTGCCTCTCTCCCTGTATCTGTATGTGCATGTGCCTCTCTCCCTGTATCTGTATGTGCATGTGCCTCTCTCCCTGTATCTGTATGTGCATGTGCCTCTCTCCCTGTATCTGTATGTGCATGTGCCTCTCTCCCTGTATCTGTATGTGCATGTGCCCCTCTCCCTGTATCTGTATGTGCATGTGCCTCTCTCCCTGTATCTGTATGTGCATGTGCCTCTCTCCCTGTATCTGTATGTGCATGTGCCTCTCTCCCTGTATCTGTATGTGCATGTGCCTCTCTCCCTGTATCTGTATGTGCATGTGCCTCTCTCCCTGTATCTGTATGTGCATGTGCCTCTCTCCCTGTATCTGTATGTGCATGTGCCTCTCTCCCTGTATCTGTATGTGCATGTGCCTCTCTCCCTGTATCTGTATGTGCATGTGCCTCTCTCCCTGTATCTGTATGTGCATGTGCCTCTCTCCCTGTATCTGTATGTGCATGTGCCTCTCTCCCTGTATCTGTATGTGCATGTGCCTCTCTCCCTGTATCTGTATGTGCATGTGCCTCTCTCCCTGTATCTGTATGTGCATGTGCCTCTCTCCCTGTATCTGTATGTGCATGTGCCTCTCTCCCTGTATCTGTATGTGCATGTGCCTCTCTCCCTGTATCTGTATGAGCATGTGCCTCTCTCCCTGTATCTGTATGTGCATGTGCCTCTCTCCCTGTATCTGTATGTGCATGTGCCTCTCTCCCTGTATCTGTATGTGCATGTGCCTCTCTCCCTGTATCTGTATGTGCATGTGCCTCTCTCCCTGTATCTGTATGTGCATGTGCCTCTCTCCCTGTATATGTATGTGCATGTGCCTCTCTCCCTGTATCTGTATGTGCATGTGCCTCTCTCCCTGTATGCGCATGCATGGCAACGGCCAACCATCCATGGTAGCATGTTGGCGCGGGAGTCATCACTAGTGGAGATGGCAGCAGGAGCCAACGAAGAGGTACCATCCATAATCATGCCGCACTGCACTGCCACAACCCCACGTCTCCGTCACAAGCAATGCTTGCTCGCTGCGACATCTCTCCTCCCACTTCACCCATTCCCCACTTCTCTCACCCGCACCCATGGCCGGCCCACCCCCACCCATTTCTCACCTCTCCTCTCCCTCCCTCTGTGCTGTCTTCCGTGTCCCATGTCTCTTCCCTCCCTTCTCTCTCCCTTCTCTCCCCCCTCCCTTCTCTCTCCCTTCTCTCCCCCCTCCCTTCTCTCTCCCTTCTCTCCCCCCTCCCTTCTCTCTCCCTTCTCTCTCCCTTCTCTCCCCCCCCTTACTCTCTCCCTGTCTCGCTGCCTACCATCCCTCCTCACTTTCCTCCTGACAGGCGAATCACAGGCACAGACTGACAGCCCATGCCCTTCCTATATGATGCCACATCTATGGTTGTTACTATGCCATGCCATGCCTCCTCGTCTACACATTTTCCTTTAACCTGGATCTAGGCCCGTGGTGTACAACTCTTCACGTGCGTATCTAAAGAAATAAAATTCTACCGTGTAGTTAACATTAGTGGACTCAATTTTCACATGTTGCATTAGCTCCCCTCCCTCTCGGCCGCCCCACCCACGTCCAACCACTGCCCTCCCGGCCCCCCCTTTTCGTCCTACACCTTCATCATCCCTCCCTCCCTCTTCTGCCCAGATTCTCTCCTTAGGCCACACAGGGAATGCCACTCGTGGTCCTAGAAAGGATGCCCTGTCCATGCCAATTCCACCTGATGCCTCACCTATGGTACCACATACCATGCAATGCCTCCTGTTCTAAACTGACCTGTCACCTGACCAGACCCTTGCTACTAGATCTGGGCCCAAAAACACTTTCAAACGTTATTCTGCACGGCTTGGCTTGCAAACTAGGGATTGAAACTGACAAAAATGCATCATATCTATATAATGTTGTTTTGCATATCATACATACTATATCACAATATAGAAAACGGATGTACTACTTTTTTACCACCATAGAGCTATTGTTTCCCTAGCAAGCAAGAGAAAACATCCTCTCTGTTGACATCTCCCGGTAGTCATCAGGGCTTAGGCTGGGGCGGCGGTTGATCCAGGCGCAGGGCGTGAGCCAGGAGCGGGGCGGGAGCCAGGCGCAGGGTGGGAGCCAGGGGCCGGGCGGGAGCCCGGAGCAGGCAGGGAACCAGGAGCGGGGCGGGAGCCAGGGGCAGGTTGGGAGCCGGGCGCAGGCTTGCAAGGTGGGGGGCGCGAGCCAGGGGCCGGGTGAGACCCGGGCGCAGGCTGGGAACCAGGCGCAGGATGAGAGCCCGGCGCGGGGCGAGAGCCGGGCGCAGGCAGGGATCCAGGCGCGGGGAGGGAGCCGGGCGCGGGATGAGAACCGGGCGCGGGGTGAGAGCCGGGCGCGGGGCCAGAGGCGGGCGCGGGCTCGCAAGGGGGCAAGGAGGGAGGCGGGAAGATGCCGGCAGCGCGCTCCGCCGCGTCCGCCTTGGCGTCGAACGCGGCCGCGATCACCGCCTTCTGCGCTGCCTTCTTCTCCGCGGCCAGGCGCAGCGCGTTCTTGTTCTTCCACGCCGCGCGCGCCTGCTTCACCGCCACGAGCGCGCGCTTGAGCACTTTCTCCGCCGCCTTCACGTTGACGACCGCTGTCTTTTCCGCCGCCTCCGCCGCTTGCGCGTCTTGCGCGGCCTCAGTGACCTCGTCCTCCTTCTCGAGCTCCGCGTCCGACGGCGCGGAAGCGTTCTCCGCCGCGGTCGCCGCGTCCTGCGCCTTCTCCGCTGCGTCCTCCGCCGCCGCGAGCGCCTGCTCCGCCGCGAGGGCCTCCTTCGCGAGCGCGTCGGCGGCTTCCTTCGCCTTCTTCGCGGCGTCGCCGGCCTTCTTCGCCTTGTCGGTCGACGCCTTGTCCTTCTTCTTCTTCGACTCCTGCTCCGCCGCATCGCCCGCTGCCTTCGCGTCGGCTGCCACCTTATCCTGCTTCGCCTTATCGGCGTTCACCTTATCGGCCTTCACCTTGGCCGCTTGGACATTAGCTTCCGCGGCGGTCACGGCCGCCTTCTGCTTAGCGACGTCCTTGGTCTTGGAATCGCGGGCCTTCTTCATCCCATCGAGCTGTTTCTTCGCCGAGTCAAGGGTCTTCTTCGCGTTTCCCTTCGCTGCGGTCGCGGACGCCACGCCGGTCTTCGCGGCGGTGAGTGCGGCGGCGGCGGCGTCCGCGGCGGCTATGGCGGCGTTGAGGTCGGCGAGCGCCGCGGCTTCGTCCTTCCTGCGCTGCTCCGCGATCGCCTCGGCCTCCGCGGCTGCGGCGGCGGCTTTGTCGGCGAGCGCTCGCGCCTTGGTGGCCTTCTGGAGTAGTGTCTCCTTGGGAACCGCCCTGCGACGCGCTGCAAGGGCTGGGGTGGACGAGAGTGCGAGGGAGAGAAAGATGAGAAGAACCGGAATACTCCAGAGTCGTGGCGCCATTGTTACGGAATGTCGAGGATGCGTGCAGAAGATAAGTCGCATATGTGTCGCAGAGCTTGTGCTGATCCGACTTGAGGTGAGGTTGCTCTAGTGTTTGATGGGAGGTTTCTGGATGGTTTACGTGAAGGGATTAGGGGCTTTTATGCTCTAATTTTTGCTGGGTTCGATCAACCCAGTAGAGCTGGTTGGTTGCGCTGAATTGCTTCGGGATTCGCTACGCAATTCGCGGCAAGGAACGCGTTCCTGACATGGCTGCTGGGGAGCAGCAGCAAGAAAGAGACATGACGTGGAAATGGAAATGCAAAGCATGATGGAACAGTGGCAACGTGGCCGACAATGTCAATCCCCCGATGTAACGGGGAAAATAACATGCGGCTTGGTTCCCTCACATCCCGTGTCCACTGTGCCTAGCAACAAGTACCCCCCCTCACCTGCCCCGTACATCTGGATTCCCAGAACAGTTTCGAAGGGAGCATGAAAGTCAGAGAATGAAATTGTGGCCGCTGCTGGACGACTTGCTGCTGATGCAAGCCTGGGCAGGACAGTGAAACTGTCGTGCAGGATATGAAAGGTTGAGATATGCCATAGGACCAATTGTCAACGGGCGACGTGGTGTGAGTGAAACCTGTACAGTAGTGGACAAAGTCCCCACATGTAGTAGCGAGGCAATGACATCCGTCTAGTACAAATGATGTCCACCGGACGCCCACCACTTCGCCGAGTCGCGGGGGCCAATGTTGAATTCGCCATTTCGCATACGTCGCCACGGGCAAATGGGTCGCAAATGAGCATTCTGTAACAAGATATTTCAAAAGTCAGAATTCTGGTCAATAAGCCCATGCATCTGTATGGTCGCCTCGTTCCGCGCTCAACAAAATCGTTCCACGTGGTAACTTTTGGGACTCTTACGAAACGGATACTGCCCGTAAATCAGACTAAATGAGCAGGCTAAACCGATTGCGATTGGCTACGGGAAAAGCGTATGGTGGACATCATTTGTACAGCACGAACCGTCTCACCTTTGCATTGCAAAGGTTTGGGTGAGGGAGAAACATGGGTTTTGTTCGATCGATCACGTGATCAACGAGACGGTCAGCGTGAAAGGGGTGCTAGCTGAATTCTGTACCTAGTAAAGTTGACTCTCCACCAGGTCGTCGGATCTCCGGGCAAAATTAAGAACCGACGGTGCACATCTCGGGCTTGTGTGTGCTTCAAGATTGTTTGAATTGTTGAATGATTCGTACTGGTACAATCCCGCTTAGAGAATCCCGATTTGAAGCCACCACGGGTTTTCCGTGAATATCACAGAATGTTACCCTTCTACTGTGGGTTCTCGCCGCGGGTTCCGCGCCTTCCCTAGACATTGTCGCGTCAGCAGCAGCAGCACCAGTAGAATCTGTGACTCATTTGGCGCGTGCGGGGAAGGTATGGCGCGGTCACCACCACCGACATCTCCACAGTACAGTAAAAGTAATTCAACGCATGCTGTACAGAACTGTGCTGCGGTGCGGTGCGGACCCGACCAGGTTCCTTCGCTTTGTGACCAGGGCTTACCTTAGGGTTTTTGCCTACACGTCAGATCCGGGTTCTGCTCCCTCACGACCCGGACAGCGCGGGTATTTATTAAGAGTCACCCGTTAGAATCCGGGTATGTCAAAAACATACACGTCAGATTCCAGGTTTTTTTCGTAATGTCGAAATGCATGGTTTTATGTGAATAAGCCTTGATTGACAGAAAACAAAAAGAACCAAGGGGTACGACCAGATTTAATGTTCAGCACGAAAACACACTAACACACCGACCTCATCTACTTGCTCTGACACCTACCTTTCAGCATGTGCTCAAAGTGTTGGTGAACATGGGCATCTTGCTACAGATTCGGAGACACCTGCTCAAGCTAAAAGACTTGGCGGAATTAGACACAGCTGAGAGCGAGCGTGAACAAATTTCAATCTGTAATGCCTAAGGATGAGAACCAGCACTTGTACTTGACATAACTCACCTGGAGGCTTGTTCTTGAGCCGCGACAGCAACTCTCCCTCTCCCTCTGAGGGGTAGAGGTGGGGGGAGTGGGGGGTTCGCCAGCGCTAGAATTCGGGTTTTCGAAAATCGTACCCGTCAAATAAGTGTACTTGGCAAACCTTACACGTCACTTCACGGGTACAAGTCAGAAGACCCCCGTCAGAATCAGGGTTTATAAAATATGAACACGTCAGATTCCGAGTGTGGGAAAAAAAAACCACCCGTTATTTTGCCAAAATCCGGGTAATTACCCGTAAAAAAAAGCCCTGTTTGTGACTCCCCTCCCCTCCCCTCCCCGCCACCGTCCCTTACACATAGTGTTCCACGTTGTAGTGAAGCGCAAAGAGAGATTGGTTAGCGAGTAGCATGGATATAGCTAGCCTAGGAGCACACGGTCGTGGCCCGGCAGAGCTGCGACGTGTGGTTTGTAAAATGGCGCGGAGCGCCTAGATCTAGGCATGCAATAGCAAGGCACGCAACAATGTATGCGGTTCGTCATGAAACCACATTTGGGACCGCGATTTGAATTTTGTGGCCGAGCTGCGCGGCAACCCCGTTACTGACTAAAACCCGTAATAAGGAAATACCATTCCTTACTCCCTCCCCCCTCCAAGGTATGGTCATAGCTAAGACCGACGACGTTGCACACATGGCGAGACTGGAGGTAGACCCGTAACACCGAGTAATTCTCGATCTGTGCAAGGGGCACCCAACTGTTTTCTAGGGTCGTCCGGTCCTTCCAAGATATTAGAAACCCGATCAGGCGAGCTCGTCGGGGATCCTTGATCCGATGGCTGAGAACTTTCGCAAGTTCGACGGTAGGCTCGACGAGCGGTCGGATGTTCAGGTTCGCTCGGTGACGTGGTTGTTGGTGCTAGCGAAGTAGGGTCGAAGTAATCGCACGTGGAATGATGGGCTGACGTTCCAGGTGGCCGGTAACAGTAGGTGGGCTGTATCAGAAGATATCGTGTGGCTATAAATGGTCCATGGTAGCGGGGGCGGAGTTTTGGAACGATGGGCAGCCGAAGGTTCTGTGTGTCGACCAGCACTAAGTCTCCGAACTAGTAAGTTACTGCACGCCGGTGTAGATCGGCGCTGCGCTTAGAGATTATATTCACTGGCTGCTCGCTTCCGGGCGTTCTGTAATATTTCGACGAACTGTTGGGCTCGTGGTACTGGATTTTCGATGTTGGGGGTGATCGGTACTGTGGGGTTCTGCCCGTAGTTCAAGTAAAACGGTGACTGTCGTATAGTGGCTGACGGGACGTTATTATACGCGAACTCAATCATCGGCACTTGCTGCTCCCAGTCGGCCATGTCATCGCAGGTGGCGCGAATCAATTGCCCCATTGTCTGATTTTACCGTTCGGTCTGTCCGCCCAGTCTCAGGATGGTAGGCGGAGGAGAATTGCAGGCGTGTGCCAAACTCTTCCTACAGGTTGCGCAAAAAATTACTGGTGAATTTCGTGTCGCGATCCGAAATGATGGCGGATGGAATTCAGCGGAGGCGGACAACAGTTGAGATGAAGAGGCGGGTTGTTTCTTCGGCTTACATGCTTTTCTTGCAGGCGGCGAAATAGGCCAATTTTTTCAGCTTATCGACGACAACAAGAATCGCGTGACGAAATCCATCGTCACATGCTGCCACGCGCGCTCAGGCGGCAGAATCAGTTGCAACTGTCCAGTTGGCTTCTGCTTCGACGGTTTCATGGTCTGGCAGGTTCTGCATGAAACCACATGCCGCTGCACGTCCCTTTGCATATCGAGCCAGAAGTAATATCTGGTCAATTGCTGCCTAGTTTTCTCCACTCCTAAGTGCCCCGAAACGGTATTGTCGTGAGCTTCTTGTAACAGCAATTCCCGTTGTAGACTGTATTCTGGTACCTAGATGCAGTCAGTCCCTGTCTTTACGTAATAGACTCCCTTAGCCGTTGCGAGCTGTTCGTATGCACCCGACGTAAAGAATACGTCCGTCTGGTACCCACGGGTAAATATTACTGTTAATAGCGGGGTAGTCTGGGCGAGGATTATGGAGTTGAGATGGGCAGATGGGCGAGAAAGGGGGTCTGCGATGTTGGATGCCCCCTTTTAGTAGGTGACCGTGTAGTGGAAATTGGACTCGATGAAGTCCAACTACCGAATCTGTCGTGGGTTGAGCAGTGGCTGTGCGCGGATGTACTGTAGGCTGTGATGGTCTGTCCATACTATCAGTCTGCGCCCGTCAGGTAGCACCGCCACACCTTGAAGGAGTGCACAATCGCAAGCATTTCCTTGTCATGCATCGCATAATTCCGCTCGGGCGGGTGCAGCTTCCGTGACTCATACGTGATTGGTTATATGCCTTCGCCGAAATCCTGTAACAGTACTGCTCCGATGGCGATGTCGCTAGTGTCTGTGATTACTTCGAATGGACGATGAGGATCGACAATGCGAAGGACAGGGTCTGAGCACATAATAGTTTTGAGCTCAGACAAGGCAGCTTGCTCTTTTCTCCCCCCATCTATACTCAATCCCTTTCCGCAACAGGTCAGTTAACGGTACAGTTACCCCTACCATATTCGGGATAAATCGCCGAACATAGTTGACGAACCCTAATAAACTTTGTAGCTCCTGCAGGTTCTTACACGGTAGCCAGGCTTGCATTGTCTCGATCTTGTGGGGGTCCACTTCGACACCCTTAGTGGAAATCACGTGTCCCAGGAATTCTAGGCAATCTTTTAAAAACTCGCACTTAGATCCCTTCGTGAGCAGCCGATGCTCCAGCATTAGCATGAAAATTGCTTCGAGGTCTTTTAAGTGTTGCTCCCAGGTCTTGTTGTGGGTCAGGATATCGTCTAAGTAAAGTATAACACACTTATCTATGAGGGAACTGAAAAACTGGTTCATGGTCATCTGAAAAGTCGTCGAGGCATTCGTCAGACCGAAGGGCATAACTACATACTCAAAACTCACGTACCTAGTACGAAACGCCGTCTTGTGTCAATCAGCTGCGACTACTCGAATTTGATGGTAACCCCAGCGTAAATCCATTTTGGAGAAGAATCGAGCTTTGCAAAGTTAGTCGATCAGTTTTTCGACGCGCGG